TCAATGCTCACACTGATGTGTTGAACGCTAGCATTTTTCTCTTTGCTTGAAATCTTCAAGGGTGCATTTGGTGTGAAGCCAAGTCCAGCTTTTTTGTGGTTAACTCTGTAACCATGCTTCTTCAACTTGTTTTGAGTCTCAGTAAGGTCACGTTCTTTATTGTTGACGATGTTTGAAACCTTTTTCCCAGGATTCGAAGAAGAAGCGAAGTCGTACCCAGCTTTTGACATGAGTTTGTAGGCGTTTGGATCAAAACCTTCTTCGGTCCTCTTGGTTGGGAGAAAGCTTGGTTCCACCCCCTTTGGTAGAGCTTTTACGAAGCCTTGTGGTAATCTTGCAACCTTAGCGTTGCTTAGCTATGTCAGAGGTAAAACTGCATTCATCTTGAGCAACTTTACATTATCCATGTGCCACTGTGCATCGGCTTTGCTTGCTTCAGTTTCGAACGGGGATTGACCATTCTTTCTTCTTGACATCGGGATGTATCGGAAAACGGGTGTGTTTGATCTATTTGAGGGCATCCTGCTCCTTTTAGTTGTTGCAGGTTTAGCAAGCTCATCATCGTTCTTGTTTGAAGACGACATAGCTTATTCTTCTTGCTTCTTGGGCATGGCTTGCCACTCCTGCTTTTTAGGTGTTGCTTTGCCCATGGATTTGATCTCTTTTGGAAGAGCTTCGGGCACCATGTCTTCATCCATGTAGAACTTGGCGTCTACGAAATGTGATTCGGCTTCGGTGAATGGTTTGGTGTCGCCATAAATCACCTTCACTCCTTCTCGGTAGAATTTTAAGCATTGGTGAAGAATGGACGGTACTACTCCATTCGTATGGATCCAAGGCCTTCCTAAGAGCAAGCCGTAGAAAGTTCTTGCATCAATCACGTGGAATATCGTACTTGACTTGAGTTCACCAATAGTCATCTCCACTCGGATCATGCCCATCACTCTTTGAACTCCTTGATTAAAACCTTGGATTAGTAGACGACTTAGGGACAGTTCATCCACCTTGATGCTGATTGTAATCATTGTTGACTTTGGCATGATGTTTATGGCTGATCCACTATCCACAAGCATGCGGTTGACTTTGTGCTCCTTTACATACACAGAAACGAATAGAGGATAGTTGTGGGGCTTGGATCCTAGTAGCAAGTCTTCGTCGGTGAAGTGGATTGCATCCTCGATGGCACAGCATGTGGCACATTTATGTGGCCGAAGCTTCAAGCCTTCGTTCTTGCTTTCTTACACTTCGTGATCGTTAGAACTTGCCAAGACTGCAACTAATGCTCTTCGTATCTTCTTTGGTAATCGTAACGCTTCCTCGACGCTAAAGTGTTTGGCAGACCTTCTTCGAACGTGAGAGTTTTTTCTCCCTCAGTGGCAATAGCTTTGCCTTTTGAGGGCTCTTCCATTTCTACTTCGACCATGTGACATGCAGCGATAGTGCACTGTTGGAAGAAGTCCTCCGGGAAGTATTCGTGCAAGGAGATAGGAATGTGTGGCTCTTGCTCTATAGATTCCCCAGCATACGTTGGCTTACCAGCATTTACGTTCCTTTTGGGCTTCCTACTGTTGCGGCGACGGTGTTTTCTCCCTTGTTCCACCTTTAGTCTTGTGGCTTGTGATTTTGGTTTCCTTGTTTTTTTTTAGGTCACCAATGTCCATCATTCTTCATCATTGGTATGTGCATCTTGTTCGTTTGCCCCCAACGATGGTTACGCAGAAAGTATCGTGCAACTTAAGCATTGATAGGAAAAGTCAGGTGTCGCTTGGAGAGGCACGGGATCGAAGGATCCAAATGCAATTGTAGTAGTATATGTTGCAACCGTGTCTTCGAGGTTGAGCTCGATTTTCCCTTGTTGTGCTAGCTTCATAATGAGTTCTTTGAGAACGAAGCACTTTCCAATAGGATGGCTCACGATTCGATGGTACTTACAGTATTTAGGATCGTTTATGCGATTTATTTCTTCAGGCCACTTGCATTCGGGTAGCTCGATTACCTTCTTTTCCAGTAAGTCGTCTAACATTGCATCCATGTCTGAGTCAGGAAAAGGGTACGCCTTCTGCTCCAATTCCCTCAGGGTGCTTTTGTACCTGTCTTGGGTGCAAGGAGCCTCACCTCTCTTTATCTCTTTTGCTTTGGTTTTGGAGGAGATCTTCATAAGCGCGAATGCGGTCTTGACGGGCGCAGTGCTGACGGTGAACGCTTCCTTGGAGGGTTTCTTCCCAGTCTTGTCTACATTTGGGGAAAACACCTTATCCTTCTTGAAGTTGGTGATCGGCTTTTTTTTCCGTGATGGGCAATACTTAGCTCTATGTCGTGGGCACGGGTGGCTAACTCTTCAAAGGTCCGTGGTTTGATGCCTTGAAGGATATAGTGTAACCCCCATTACATGCCTTGGACACACATCTCGATTGAAGAGATCTCCGAGAGCCTGTCCTTGCAGTCGAGGCTTAGATTGCACCATCGGTTGATGTAGTCCACGATTGGCTCATCCCTCCATTGCTTCGTGCTTGTCAGCTCTAACATGCTCACAGTGCGGCGGGTGTTGTAGAAGCGGTTGAGGAATTCCCTTTCTAATTGCTCCCAGTTGTTGATGGACTCAGGCTCTAGGTCCGTGTACCACTTAAAGGCATTTCCTTTCAGCGAGCGTACAGCTACTTGGCGAGGTAATCTCCTTCTGTCCCCGCGTTGTTGCAGGTTTCGACGAAATGTGCAACGTGCTGCTTTGGGTTTCCTTTTCCATCAAACTGCATGAACTTTGGTGGTTGATAACTTCTTGGCATCTTCAGGGCGTCAATCTTTTTGGAGTAAGGCTTTGAGTATAGTACGGAGTCATGTGAACTTCCTTCGTACTGCGCCTTGATGATGCTGGCGATCATCTCCTACAGCTGCTGGATAGAGAGAGATCCCATGAGTGTCGCTGATTGGTCTGGCTTTAGCTTCTCTTCGACTTTCTCCACATGAGGCTCCTCATCCTCGTCGTTTTCCTTCTTTACTGGATTACCCTTTAGGTCGGGTTTCTCGTCTTGCTACACCTCCAATTAGTTAACGAGTGCAGCAATTTGTGAGTCTTTTTCTTCCACAATCCGTGTTAGCCTTGTGATCGCTTCATTCATATGAGCCAGCTGCTCATCGATTGAAGTCGCTCCAGTGGTCATGACTTGCATGGCTGAGCTGCCGCTTGAGTCGGCATCGGAAAGCATGGAACCAGAGTACTTCCTTGGGCTTTCCTCCCTTGGCGCCCTTAGCGAGGCCAGGGTGATCAGAGGTTCGTGCCTCGGGTGTTCTTATTCCTTCGGCAGAGTTGATGCAGGAATGGAAGAAGCGGCAGAAAGAGCTCTTGCCTTGCTTCGAGTTGTGACGCCCGAAGTGACACCACCTACGGTGATGACGCTCTTGTTCCTTGCATTGTTTGCGAGAGCGACTTGAGCCTTCTTTGATGCCATTTGTGCTTTTTGCAAATTCAAAGATAGAGATGAGAGGTAGAGAAGGTCCCACTGAGCGTGCCAAATTTGTAAACACGAAATTCCTGGTGTGAATGAGACAAGAACACGTGTACAAAATAATATTTTGTATTAATGATTTAAGGGTTACAATCTCTTCTACAATTTTAGCCTCTGATTCTATCTTTGTAATGGGTGGATTTGATGTTGTTGATCCAAAGGGCCGTCAGGGCTTGATCTTGGGATAAACAGTTATGCGGATTTGTTGACGTCGTTGATCCAAAGGGCCGTCGGGGCTTGATTTAGGGATGAACGAATGATGAATGATGAACACTTTCTTCAAGGGCCGTTGGGGCTTGATCTTGAATTAGTGGAAGTTTTTCAAGGGCCGTTGGGGCTTGATTTTGAATGAGGATTTGACGAAGAACGAAGAGAACTTTCTTGATCCTTTGGGATTTGCTTGGGAGCTTTGAAGTTTCAAAGCTTCAAGGTTATGGTGTGAGGTGAATTGGTTATGAATTGGTGTCCCAAAATGAAAGCATGGCTTCCTATTTATAGAATTCCAAAACTTGATTTTTTGGATTTAAATAATCAGATGAAATAAATCATTTATGCCAGGTGTTGACACATGTCCTGTATGATGACATTTCCGATTTATTTTGATTTTTCGTTTAGTCACATGCTATGTGTAAAATTTATGTGACACATGAACGTTGAAATTTTAATTATTGATCAACATTTATTTCACCAAAATTTCGATGTCTACACCAACTTCCTTCCCTAATCGACAACCATATTCTTCAACAACCATTTTGGCCACAGACATGGCTGCAACTTTTCATTTTGCCTCTCCTCTTTATTTATGGCAATCGAATTAACTAAACGATTCAAATTTAAATACAGTTGTACATTAAAAAAAATAGTGTTTATCATTTTTCTATTTATAGTATATACGCAACTATATTTTATTGTATTAAAAAGTGAGACATCTAAGGTAAAATTAAGTAATAAGTCAACCACAATATTTAAATATCAAGCTCCCATTCAAGCACCTTTCTAAAAATCCCTACTTAGCTCTCCCTACACCCGCCTAGATGCTAGGCGACTGGCCAAGATCCTGATTAATCCCTAAGAATTTGAAAATTAAGAAATGGCATATAAATCTGACTAGCCCGCCTAGGTTGCAATTCTCACTTAAGAGAGAAAATATAAACTTTAATTTTTTATTTTATTTTTTCAATAAATTGGACAAACATTTACTACATGCTTGTTTCCCCATGTTTTAATCTATGTCATTCTATTTGGCAATTTATACATCACAATACAATTATGTATTTCTTTAAATATAAATACACATTTGTTTATATATTATATTGCATTTATGCCAAAAAGAAAAGGAAAAAAATAGTTCTAATTCTAGTTCAAATATTTTCACTACAACTTTATCATGCTGAACAGATTTTGGCTATGCAATTAGGATATCAAACGAACCAACAAACAGAAGGTAAGAGAAAACACATACAGGGAAAATGTGATGGATGAGATGAGACTTGTACATGACGAGACGACAGAGCAACTTTTTCTTTTCAGACGAAAGAGATCCATTCAAACAAACTAACACATAGGAGTTAGGGATAACAAAGTTTGGCAATTCGGATAAATATTAGTCGCATTCACTGTAACTGTATTAATAGTTCAGACAATTATAGATCTACCTAAAATACTTTAGATATAACAGTGAAAATCAAACCAAAAAGTTACATCTCGCCATCAATAAGACCACCGCTTGAAGTCCAATGCAGCTACAAAAAATCGATGGCTGAGTCCCGATAATCTCAAGCACCCAAAGTGGCTGAACAATGTCAAAAGAACAATTGTTAGAGCCCCATAGGTAAGTAAACAAATGAAACATACATTCTTCAGCATAGCATAAACAGAAGCAGAGTTCAAGTCCACAAGGTTTTTTAAATGTGTTCCGGGAATGTTACTCCAAAGGAAGAGTTAGTACCTTTAGCACAAGTCTCATCCTGTGGCTTCATAGCCGGGAAGAGTAGAACTTCCTGTCCAACCACAAACCATACATGGTGAGAAAAAATTCACACGTAACATACACAAGATTGGAGAGAGAGAGAGAGAGAGAGAGACCTTGATATTTTGTGAATCGGTTAACCACATACAGAGCCGATCAACGCCCAAACCCCAACCACCAGTTGGAGGTAACCCGTACTCAAGAGCTCTACAGAATGATTCGTCCAAAGCCATTGCTTCATCATCACCTGATTGTCGGTCCTGAAACTCAAAAACATGTATCATCACAAAAGAAATTATACAATTTTCTATAAGATACCATAACTAAACAATTAAGTGATACCTTGAGTTGATCAGCAAATCTTTCCCGTTGTACCACAGGATCATTCAACTCTGTGTATGCATTGGCAAGCTGGAAAGCAAATGAAAATCATTCACAATCTTAATGACAAAGAAAAAGGTAGCCAATAAAGAAATCATTCAAATCTTCAAGTTGGTTGGCATACTTCATGTTTGTTCACAAACAATTCAAAACGTTCAGTCAAGCCAGGTTTCGATCGATGCCACTTAGCCAAAGGACTCATTATCTCAGGATGGTTAATGATGAAAGTGGGATTTACACACGTCTCTTCCAAAAAGTGCCCAACAAGCTGCATAAATAGAAAATGAAACAAAATGATGCATGAGTCATTTTCCATAACCATCACACATTAAGATTCCAATCAAGTGACAAGGATTTTTCTTAACTGACAATGGAAAGAAAATATAGACATCTACAAGACATCTGATAATTCACCAGCAATAACTGACAAATTCAAACAAACTCCAGAGCAGGACAGATGCAATGACGCAATAAGATAAAGAGTCATGGGAATTCTTTTATGAACAAAAATTGTCATATCATAAATGATAACTGAAAATTGTCATCAAGACTAGATATTTGAGAAAAGCATAACATTGCATTGATTACAATGTCTTTCATGTACGTGATTTTAGGAGTTGTTACCTTGTCCAACAAACGAGTTGTTGTTTCAGGAGGGGAACATTTGACATCAAACTTCTTGCACGCATCCTTAAGATATTGGTTAGCTTCTGCACTGGAGAGATTCTCTGGATTTATGTTGAGACCTGCAATCTTATTTAATTCCTCAACCATGTCGATCCTTCTGCAGCAGTAACAATAAAAACCACCAGATAAGTTTTTTTTAACATGTGTTTAAGCTGTAACATGCATGACCAAAATATAGTTTACAGACCTGAAAGGAGGAGTAAAGTCAATCTCAATTGGTTCCTTGTCGAGCCCATTTGAATGATACTTGATTTTATACCCACCAGTTAGCTCCTTGACCATACCTATTTTAGACTTAACATATTAGCAAACAACTCCAAGTAGTCTCAACAGGGAAAGGGTCAAGGAATCTATGTTCAAGACATGCATCATTTGAGCCATACCACTCAACATTTCCTCAGTCAGCGTCATCAAATCATTGTAGTCTGCATAAGCCATGTAGAATTCACAGGTAGTGAATTCAGGATTATGAGTCAAATCAATGCCCTCATTTCTAAATTGCTTTCCAATCTCATAAACACGATCCAGGCCACCAACAACAAGCTGCTTGAGATAGAGTTCTGGTGCAACGCGCATGAAAAGCTTCATGTCAAGTTCATTGTGAAAAGTCATAAAAGGACGGGCAGCCGCTCCACCAGGAATCATATTCATCATAGGAGTTTCGACCTGAGGATGGGAGATGCAGAAGCAAACGACAGATATAAAGACACCAAAATGTAAGAGACTACCAACAAACTAACACAAAGGGCAACGTGATGAAAGACTAACCTCCAAGAAGTCCAGATTGTCCAGGAACCTTCTAATATATTGAATGACTTTATATCTGGTCCTGAATATTTGCCGAACCTCATTAGTCAATATTAGATCCAGATAACGTTGACGATAGCGAGTTTCCTACCAAGAAAGACAGTGAACACATAAAAACAAAAAATGAACAATATAAAATATAATGGGAATACCGTAGCATGACTATTATTTACAAAATGTAAAAAGAACAAGTAAAAACAAATCACAATTTGAAAAACAAACAAACAGAAACAAAGAACAAAAGGGTGGAACAAAACAATAGAGTAGACAGGACATTAAGTCATTAAAACATCACCCCCACAAACTAAAACCTAATATAGAAATGAGGGTACCAGTTGACCTCACATCAATAAATGGAAATCAATATTGAAAATACAAGCATGAATATTCTAGATAGATATAAATCATTAGTAATTCCAACCCCAAAAATTTAATCATAGTGTTCTCAAAGTTAACAAAAATAATTGTAAAAGTTTCTTCATCAATTAATACCTGGTCTTTTAAAATGTATGCTTCAGGATTCCGGGGACTTCCTGGGATCCATCGATTCGTTTTCTGCAGAATCGTATGTTGTGGTGTCATGAAAAGAGCTCAGGCAGCGTAAACAAAGTCAAAATACAATCATTGATCAGTGATCACCTTGACATTAGCATTATCAGAAGCAGGACCAGCTTTCTGTCTTGGCATCATATGAAGACAATGTGATAAGACTATAAATGATCTTGGGAAAATGCTCAGCTCCCCCCTCTTAGTCTTTCCTGTGAGATGAAAAGAGAAACAAATCAGAAAACTGTATAATTCAGAAAAATTAACAGTTCATAGTCCCAAACAACACAAAGTCCAGCAGTGCCTTCATCATTAGATGCCTAAGGACACGTTATATTACAAGGCCCCGTTGAATTTAGAGAGAAACCAGTAAAGTAAAAAAAAAAACAAATGTTCAAAGATACCAGCAGAAAGCTCAGGATGTGTTATTCACTTAACCTGCCTATGCTGCCAAAATAAAATTTCAGGACCCTATAACTAAAAGCTGTCAACTAGACAGGAAGGCAGGAAAGCCAAACTTAATAGAACATTAAGAGAGTGAACTTGGACGAAATTATCATTAGATCCACAACCAGTGAGACCAAAATCTAATCCACAATGAGTGCAAGCACAAATCTTGTAACTCTGCCTTATAAGTATGAGATTGAAGAAAATCAGCAATTTAAGATGAAAAAAATCCAAAGACTAGGAAACTATTCAGTATATTATTCATGGAACCTTGTAACCTTAGCCCATGATGCGATGGCAAGTGCCTTCGCCCATGAGCGGTAGGTCTCGGGTTCGAGACTTGGGAGCAGCCTCTCCATAAATGGGGGTAAGGCTAGCCGACATTCACCTCTCCCAGACCCTGCGTAAAGCGGGAGCCTTGTGCACTGGGTACGACCTTTTAACCTTGTAACCTTAGGAAATCAGCAATATAATATGCAAAACATTCGAAGACTAGGCAACTATTCAGTATATCTTTCAGGATCACAGCAACCTTGTAAATCTTTTTCATTTCATCGTAGATTTAGAATCTTCTCCCTTGTCTTTTTTTAACCATACAAAAGTTCTCAACACACATACAAACATGGAGTGACTAATCAAATTGATCAATAATATACTTGAAAAAGTAAAGCAACTAAATATTTCCACTGCTTGGACACAGTGAACACCAATTCAGTGATTTTTTATCTTTTGGCAAAAAAAAAAATATATTCCAAACTATTATAATCTATGGAGATGGGATTGAACTCAGCTCAAGGGCACACTGCCCTGGCCAACTTGTTTAACTCACATCAGCAGTTCAGGAATTCAATCACATAAGTCTACAGTTACCCTTTACCCAGGTTGAAAAGAAAAGACTTCTCAACAGTTTCATTATAAATTGGATTTTATATAAAAAAAATAAAAAATAAAAAATTATATCATTCCATAGGAAAAATCATGACTAACATGCAAAAGGTAAGTGAACAGCTACTACAAACCTGGAAACCCAGTCACACCGACAATATCACCACGCTTAACACTAGAATGAAACTTAGAAAATTCAGATTCATCCAACTCTGATTTTCTGCATGAAAAATGAAGTCCTTTAAGTAATTTTGATAATGAAAAGTAAAAGAAATAAACCCAAGAAGGGATGTAATAATGTACTGAAAAGATTAACTCAACCACATTTAATGAGAAGCAAAAAGCTTGCATCTACCAAGACAGGGATAAATCCAGAATTTTCCATGGTAATGGCCGTCTAGCAATACTTAAATACAATAATCAGCTTTCTAATTTTGCAAGACTAATTTCTCTATATTATGTGATCACAGAATTTCACTTGCATAGAATTGGGGAATTAGATGGAAGACGAGAAAGGATGGACTGAATCAGTGGCTATTATGTGCAACACAAAAATAAGTATTTGACATAAAATGCAAAGGCATCAAACTTGGCTGATTATATAATTAGCTACTACATATAATTTCATATAACACATGAAAACACGCAAAACTAGAGATGATGATAGTTAGTGAACCACACAAGTCCTTTATTGACCAAACTACCAAATGCCCCACAACACGTGATAAGAACATCAGGAATTACAATAATTAATGAACAAACACAGTTTTTATAGCCAGTTCAAATTTTCATATAGTAATATGAGACAAAGCTGAAACAAGTTTACCATTTCTTTCATTTCTTACAGGATTGCAAAAGTAGATACTGGGGAAAAAATAGAGAAAAAAAATATGAAGAGAGTAGATATTCAATGTAGTCGTTGTACCTAAAAGTGTTTAACTAGACATAATACAAATACAAAACTGTCTTTAAAAAGAACATTCATCCTTCTGCATTGGAACTCTTTATTTTTCATTAAGTTTAATCTCATAAAAAATGTCTTGAAAAGAACATTCATCCTTTTGCCAATTAATCAATTAGATATTAGATAGATCACATGCTTGTAATTTTTTGTCCTTCTGAGTTCTGACAAAGAGAATCAAACAAAACCACTGGCCTCCAACTAAGAGAGCATATTTCTCAGTAGGAAATTAAACCACACAATTCAACAAAAGGAGGAGAACCAACTGTTATAAATATTCAAACAAGTGGGGGCGAGAACAATTTTATACCTTAAATCAGCCATGACTTGGACCTTCTCACCATCAGGTCCGCCACCATCCAAGTCATAAAAGAAGAGCTTAGAGCTGGAAGATCTTTTACTCATGATTCGCCCTTGCATAGGAGTAAAATATTCAAATCAGCAAAGATAAAATGCATGACAGATGATACCCTAGATAAATATAAGCCTGTAAATTTGAATACCAGCCAATGAAACAGTGATATCCTCAAGATGCTCCCCATCGTTTAAGCTTGCATACTTCTCTACATATTCATGTACGGTGATTGAACAAAAGAATTTATGAGGATATGGATTTTTATCTGCCTTCTGGGTAGCAAGATACTTCAGTCTATTTTCATAGTATTGCTGCCAAAAAAAAGTCATGACGCTCAGGTCATAACTAAGTAAGCTTTGAACCATTTAGATGGAAAAACTATAAGACAACACAAATTAGTGAGTACCGTTGGATCCATGTCGTCATCTTCAGTTGCTACATCTTTCTTAACTTGCGAGCTTGCCAAGGCAGCAGCCTGCGAGATAATTGCAAATTTATTTCATACAAGATTTCATAATCAAATATGGTGAGCACTTTCCTGAGCAATAAGCAATTACAAATTATCATTCAAGTGTATCCAGATTTCATGTGACTAAATAGTATCAATTCACACTTTCATGGATCAAAACAAAACAACAAATATAGAGTTAATGGGAAACCAATACTTACATATGCACCAAAAATCAGATTATTAAGTATCGCATTAATGTAAATTTGTGAAAAAAGACTAAACCAGCATGGTGCATTGCGGTATCAACTCATCTCCAGGGTTCAAACATTGACCTTATACAACAAATTAAAAACCAAAATATACTGAATGACCACGAAAACACTACGGGAACACCACTTGCATAAAATTAGATACACCACTCAGCCAAAATCAGGATAAGAAAACCGATTATGATGTTCACGCCCATTATCTATCGACATTCGGGACGGAACTGCCGCCACTATAACTAAAAAAAAGAAGTAACAGCATTGTCAGACAAAAGGCACCAGCTTTACCTTATCCTCCTCTTTTCGGCGCCTCTCCTCTTCCCGCTGCTTGTTCTTCAACTCCTTCTTCCGTGCACTGTAAGCACCCCCACACAAAATTCAACACAATCAATACCCAAAAAACAAAAAACTAACAGCTTAAGCAGCTTAAGCAGCTAAAACAAAAAACCATACGGATTAAAAACAAAACATAAAAAGAAAGTAATATGGCCGGACTTCGAAGGCAAACTTTCTTTTCTCAGGAACCAAACAGGGGTTATTCGGGACGTACTTTTTGCTCATAGCTCCTTCCGATTCCAGAGTCGAATCTGCGAGTGATTTCGGGGTTTCGTTGGACGTGCCCGCCATTGCAGCGATTCGGAACGAGAGTGGAAAGTGAGAGAGGGGGTTTTCTGGGGTTTTTTGTGTCAGTGGAGCTAGGGTTTGCCAACTGGGGTAGTAAAAGATTACAATCCGTTTCGGCTATATAGGGCGGGCAGGGTCGGAATAAGTTCATATACTTTCTTGTTTTTTACAGTATCATATTTACTTTAGCTTGGTTAGAACGCAATTCGGATTGGGGATTTCACTTTGTATATCACATTCCCTTTTTTATTTTTTTGAAGTTCGATTTGTTTTGGGTTGTTTTATTCGCCTCACGATTATTGAATGCACACCGTATACTAATTAATTATTCAATGGCTCATATAATTTAAATAGAGTAAATTGTAGCAATTGTTTATCAATTTTAACTCAATTAGAAAAATGGTCTCTTAACTCAAAGTTCATTATCATTGGTATCTCAACTCATCAAAACGTGCAGTTATTGTCATTTTTTCCAACTCCATTAAAACTTCCGTCAAAATGAGTCGCGTGTCATGCATGTGAAACTAAATAAAGGGGCAAATATGAAAAATCAAATAAGAAAAATTGTATTAATGGTCCTTAACTTTAATTCAACTAAAGAAATAGTCTTTCAACTTCAATCCAATTTGAGAAATGATCTCTCAATTTTAATCTAATTCTAGCAATGGTCATTCCAACGTAACTTATTTTGACAAAATTTTGACGGAGTTTATGAAAAGAACCATAGCTAACGTTTTGATGAGGATGGACCAATGGTAATGAATTTTTAGTTGATAGACTATTGCTCAAATTTAATTAAATTTGAAATATCATTGCTACAATTTATTCAATTTAATATGATATGACTATTTAAGCCTCATATTGTTTTGAAAAAGAAAAAAAAGACCTATTAATTTATGAATACGTCCCTAATCAATGTCAATATGTATCCTAAATTATTTTCCTTAAGGTATCAAAAGCCATTCCAACCCTCACATCATGACATAGAATCATATGAGTGCAACTTACCTGTGCACCCCAATTATAATTCCATATCAACAGTTACTACAAATATTGCATAGAGGTATCTGATTCACCACAGTACTAACATCAACTAATATATGATTCACCATAATATTGCATAAAGGTATGTGATTCGCCACAATATTAACATCAATGTGGAGCCAAAATAATCTCGAAGTTTTTTGAGGCAACACGTGAACTTTCAGTTTAAAAAGATAAAACTGACCTTATTAAATGGGCAGGCATCCCACGCGCAGCTCAGCATTATAGGATATGCAGGGAAAATTACTAATACACTCCCAATTGAAGACAAACTCTATCAAATAAGTAATCCCACTTATTTTGAAGTATGGAAAATTACATTTATTTTCAAGATATTATTAACACAATATCTTGGAAAAGTCTGACCAGATTAACCCTGAACGGCCGGCCACCTCCTCTGTAAATACCTCATTTCTCCACACAAAAATGGTGTCTATTTCTATACACATAAAAACCATAAACACTCACGACTAATTACTTTGGATTGCGAAGAACCGCTCAACCCTTTTGTTTTTTTATTTCACGAACAACAGTTGTACATTGGGAATGTGATTGTGTTAACTATGACCCTTATCTCCAACATTTTTATTACCATATGTTCCTAATCTCTGGCATACGCTGGCAGTTTTTTTCACTTCCACCGAGCAGTTTGTTGTTTGACACTGTAAATTTGTGAGTACAATGAGCAAAAAACCTAGGGTGAGCAATAGACGAGTGAAACAAGAAAGTCATAGTTTTCCTACTTCAAGTAGTATCCACTATCATTTTTAGACCTGGCTCAAATTTCTCATGATGCTTATGGCCACTATATATATCTCATTCATATTGCCTATCAGTGCTTTCTTTCTTGGTCAATTTTTTTATCGTTTTATTGAGTTCGCTTATAATCGATCTTTTCTTAGCAGTGAGCTAGTTGGATGGTAATTAACTACCTAACTGGACAATTTCTTGCTATTAGTAATTGTAGACATCGAAATTTCGTAAATAAATGTTGATTGATAAATCAAAGTGTCAACGCTCATGTATTACATAAATTTTGCACATAGCGTGTGACTCAACGAAAATTGAAATGAGTTGGAAAAGTCATCAAATAGGACACGTGTCAACACCTGGCAGAAACGACTTATTTCATCTGGGATATTATATTCAAAATTAGGCATTGGAAAATTCTATAAATACAAGCCCATTTTATTCATTTTGGGGAGGAATTGATATTACACCTTGAAGCTCTGAAGCTCTGAAACTCCGAAGCTCTCAAGTATCCAGGTTCCCGAAGAATCAAGAAAGCTCTCTTCGTTCTTCGTTCTTCATTCTTCGTTCTTCGTTCATCCTAAGACCAAGCCCCAACAGCCCTTTGGATCAACAATCATCCACCAATTCAAGATCAAGCCCCGACGGCCCTTGAAGAAAGTGTTATTCGTTCTTCGTTCATCGCTCTTTCAAGATCAAGCCCCGACGGCCCTTGAAGAAAGCACCATCGTTCATCATCCGTTCATCCAAGATCAAGCCCCAACAGCCCTTTAGATCAACAAACGTCGACAAATCCACACACATCCAACCGTTCTTCAAGATCAAGCCTCAAACGGCCCTTGAAGAAACATTCATCCTCAAGATCAAGCCCCAACGGCTCCTTGAAGATCCGCTCAAATCCACCTTCAAAGATCAAGCCCACGGCTCTTTGAAGAAACTTCCAACTGTTCATCCAAGATCAAGCCTCGACGGCCCTTGGATCAACGAAACACCCACAAATACACACCTTACGGAGATCGAATCAGAGGATCAAAATAGAGAGAGATTGTAACCCAAAATCATCAAAAATACAAATATTTGTTTGTGCACGTTGTTCTTGTCTCTTTCGTTTCAGGAATTTTCCGTGTTCACAAATTGGCACGCCCGGTGGGACAATCTCTGCCTCTCATCTCTTTCTCCGTTCAAGAAATTCAAGCGCACTTCCAAAATTAATGGCATCAAGGAAGGCTCAAACTGTTCCCGCAACCGGCGCAAAGAACAAAAGCGTCCTCGTCGCAACTGGTGTCACTTTGGGCATCACGACTCGAAGCATGGCAAGAGCTACTTCTGCCGCCTCTTTCACCTCTGCATCAACTCTGCAAAGGGAACAAAAGCACCCAAGGCACGAGCCTTTGATCACCTTAGCCTCACTAAGGGCACCAAGGGGGGAAAGCCCAAGGAAATACTCCGAATCCATGCTCTCCGATGCCGATTCAAGCGACAGTTCAGCCATGCAAGTCATGACCATTGGAGCAACCTCAATCGATGAGCAGCTGGCTCAAATGAATGAAGCAATCGCAAGGCTAACCCGAACTGTAGAAGAAAAAGACTTGCAAATTGCAGCACTAGTCAACCGACTGGAGGCGCAGGACGGCGATAAACCCGACCCAGAGGATGATCCACTAAAGGGAGGAGCTGGCGGAGACGAAGAACCCCCGGTGAAGAAAATCGATGGGAAGCCGGAGCCAGACCAAGCAGCGGCACTCATGGGATCTCTTTCTATCCAGCAGCTGCAGGAGATGATCACCAACACCATCAAGGCACAGTACGAAGGGAGCTCACATACCTCTTTGTTCTACTCGAAGCCCTATAACAAGAAGATTGATGCCCTAAGGATGCCAAGGGGTTATCAACCACCAAAGTTCATGCAGTTTGATGGAAAAGGAAACCCAAAGCAGCACATTGCACATTTCGTCGAAACTTGCAATAACGCAGGGACGGAGGGAGACTACCTCGCCAAGCAGTTTGTGCGCTCGCTGAAAGGAAATGCCTTTGAGTGGTACACGGACCTAGAGCCTGAGTCCATCAACAGCTGGGAGCAATTGGAGCGGGAATTCCTCAACCGCTTCTACAGCACCCGCCGCACTGTGAGCATGCTAGAGCTAACGAGCACAAAACAGTGGAAGGACGAGCCAGTCATTGACTACATCAACAGATGGCGCACTCTAAGCCTCGACTGTAAAGACAGGCTCTCGGAAACCTCTTCAATCGAGATGTGCATCCAAGGCATGCAATGGGGTTTGCAATACATCCTTCAAGGCATTAAACCACGGACTTTCGAGGAATTGGCCACTCGCGCCCATGACATGGAGTTAAGCATCGCCCATCATGGGAAGAAAGAACCGATCGCCGACTACAAGAACGACAAAGTTCTTGGGACAAAGGTGGAAAAGGCTGCATGGAAACCCACCAAGGAAGCGATGACGGTCAACACATCTCCCGTCAAAATATCCACACGAGGCAAGGCGATTCAAACAGAAGGCTTTCGTGATCAAGAGATGCGTAGACGCACTTTGAAGGAGCTTGAGGAGAAAACTTATCCATTCCCCGACTCTGATGTGGTTGCCATGTTAAAAGACTTGCTGGAAAAGAAGGTGATCGGTTTGCCTGAGTGCAAACGGCCGGAAGAGATGAATCATACCGACAGTCCAAGATACTGTAAATTCCACCGCTTTATCAGTCATCCGACAGAAAAATGCTTCGTGCTGAAAGATCTCATCATGAAGCTGGCTCAGAAAGGAATCATCGAGTTAGACCTTGACGATGTGGTGAAGTCAAACTATACCACCATCACTTATGACTCTTTCGACATAAAGTTTTCACCTTAACCGCTGGGGGCATGCTCCAAGTCAAGCGAAGTTAAAGGATGGACTCAAGTCACTCCTAAGAAATTGCACAAGAAGCATACGTCTCCTCCACAAGTCCGCCAATCGGAAAGGGGGCAAAGCAGCTCTTGTCAACCTTCAAAGCAACATGAACATGTTGAAGATGATAAAATTGTGACACAAAGATCGTCCGTTGCCGTCACGATGCGTGATTTCTTGCCTGAAGACTTCTTCAACTACTCAGTCAAGGCTCCTTGCTATGAAGATTGCGAGGAACGACTCTCTCAGATCGCTTGACGAACCAAAGCTCCTAGCCTGCATAAGCCTAAACTGCATGGCACAAAGCTCCTTGTCTGCAAGAGCCTAAACTGCAAGACACAAAGCTCCTTGTCCGCACGAGCCTAAAATGTAGGACACGAGGCTCTTCGCCTGCACGAGCCTAAACTGCATGGCACAACGCTCCTGGTCTGCA